TATATTATTTTTTACTGTAGTTTGGGTGAAAGTTTACAGAGCAAATTAGTTCTCCATTCAATAATTTATGTACATTTTGTTTTGTTCTGATAGTTTCAATTGTCTCAATGTAGCAGCATTCTACCTGCTTCCTTCCTGGATTCTCCAATTCTCTGATTCCATTTGTCTTTTTCTCCTTTCCCTTCCTGTCTTCGTTTTTGGGGCAAATGCTGCCCTTTTGGTTTCCTGTGGTTGATTGTTCTGAGGAGTAAGTTACTCACACGTGTTATCGTTCATTATGCCGTCGAGTTGATTCTGACCCATAGCGACCCTATATAGGGTTTCCGAGGAGCAGCTGGTGAGCTTGAACTGTTGACCTTGCAGTTCAAACAGCTTTGCAGTCTGGCGCATAGGCCTGCCTATTGTTTGGCTGAAAGGTGATCCTCATGGATGGGTTCAGTTCCTGGTTTGAGGTATCTAAGGTATCTAAAGGCCACAGTCTGGGTAGTTTCACCAGTTCAAACCAGTAAATCTTGTCTGTTTTATACTTTTGAATGTTGCTCTACATTCCTCCCTCCTGCACTCCCCCCGCCCCCAGACACACACTGTTCAGAATTTTCTATCATGATCACAATCTCACAATGAGAACTCTCAATAGTGGTAAGGGGACATCTTTAGTTTATCTGGTCTCCGTCCTGTGGAGACTGTGGTCTGTGTAATCCATTCGTCCTTTACGCTTAATTGTTTGCTTGACTCTTTGATTTTCTTTACTCATCTTTGCTCTGGATGGGGAGAGACCAATAGTTGCATCTTGTTGTCATTGTTGTTAAGTGCCATCAAGTTGGTTCCGACCCATAGAGACCCTGTACAGGGTTTCCGAGGCTGTAACTCTTTACAGCAGCAGAAAGCCTCATCTTTCTCCCACAGAGTGGCTGGTAATTTCAAACTGCTGACCTTAAGGTTTGCAGCCCAATTCGTAACCACTACGCTACCAGAGCTCCTTAGCCACTTGCAAACTTTGAAGACCCCAGTTGGTTCTCACCAAAGGAGGGCGTAGGCACAATTCTGAACCCAGAAGAACTAGATGGTGCCTGGTTACCACTCCCAACTGCTCTGAAAGGGATCAATCCCATTAGAAGGTCTTGAATAGAGTGGAGGTAGGGGGAATGTGGACCAAAACTCAAAATTATGAAAAAGACCTGACCTTCTGGTCAGGGAGAACCTGAGGCTATGGCCCTTAGCTGCTCTTCAGGCCTGGAGTTGAACTCATCCTCATGGTCCAATTTGCAGCCAAGTGGTAATTAGGTATATAAGGAAAACAACAACACTAGTAAGGTAGGCTCCCCATGGAAGGGGCAACCATCCAAGATCAAAAGGGCAACATTTCCCTAAGGACAAAGTTCAGAAGGGGTGGGAAGGAGTGTGGAATGGCAGTAAGCATAGGGAGGAAGTGGGATCCCTCTTGTTCCGTGGAGGGACTGCAATCGCTGAGATAAAACACAAATGTAGGATTTGTTGAATGTAAAACGGATGATCTGCTCTGTAAACCTTCGCTCAATTCACAATAAAAAGTAAAAAGCAATAACATGTAGGCTATTGTCATTGTTGACCATGCTAATTGACCTACATGCCTCCTAAGACTGCTGCTCCCAAGCCCCCAAGTCCAACAACTCATTCCCTGAAGATGTTTGGTCATGACTAACAAGTTTTTATAAATTTGACTCCTGGTGTGGTGCTATAGGATAAGCACTAGGTTACCAACCACAAGGTCGGTGGTTCAAATCCACCAACTGCTTCTCAGAAATCCTGTAAAGAGTCGCTGTGAGTGAAAATCAACTCGATGGCACTTAACAACAGTAACAACAATGCTCTGCTATATAAAAGGGAGCTTCAAAAGGTCATGAAAAAATGGAATGAAAAGATATGGAATTTTTCCATTAACTTTTCAAAGAGTCCTCATACATGGATATATCTGTAGCACATACAAATATATATGTAGAAATATCTGGGATATCTATGTCTATCTATTTATCTATACACACACACACACACACATATACTCATGAGTGTAGTCCCATTCCTGTTCAGCTAGCAGCTCTATTTATGGACCCACTCATAGATTATTACTATTATTTTTGCAGGATTGTGTATATAATAGTATTTACCCTTAACTCCAGTGTACATCCCAGAGTTGTCTTTGGCCTGTGTCATGTTGTGCTGACTTCCCTTTCATTGCATATTGCCTTTCCTTTCACCTAAGTCAAATGCTTGTCTAATTCAAAATGTGTCCTTTCAGCCAAAAGGTCAAGTTTGAGGGGATTTGGCAAGAAAGATTTGGGTTGATTGGTTCTGAAAATGTTGAAGCCATTGGAGCCCTCTTCTTGAGACAGTGATCTTGAGAAGGTCTCTAAAAAGGATGCCCAGACATAGCTTAGAAGCCTCTCCAGGAGTAGACCAGGGATTTGTCTGTCTGTGAACACGCTCTCCTGAAGGCATCCTGAAAAGTGACCTGGGTTGGACCTGAGGTGACCGCCTGTGGCCCCTGTGAATGCCCTGGCCAGGAGAAAGAAACAGACCAAATTTCCAACCAAACTCCAGTGTCAAAGTACAAAGATGTGACTCGGACCCAGGAAACTTTACTGGCAACCAGGCAGGCTACCAACTTCTCCCAGTAGTTAGTTACCCAGGGTCCCTAAATGCTTAGGTGTCCTCTAGGAACATGGGGTCTCCATTCATGTTGGATCTCTCTGTTAACAAGACTAAAGACTGAAAAATTGCTCTGTTTTCACCTTCCCCTGAAAACCTTGGAAAGTGGGTCTGTATCCCTCCAGGTCACCAACCTCAGAACCTCCCATCTCTTCTGGGACTGAAATGGTCTGAGGCATGGAGACACGGATGCCTTCTCTGCTGCCCCTCCCCCACCCCACACACCTGTGTGCCCCACTAGTGACCTCTCAGGGCTGGTCTGAGGTGCCCAAGAGGGAATCTTGAGGACCCCTGACCACCTGCCCCTTCACCACAACTGTCCTTTTTGTGAGTGTTAACCCTCAAAGACCGTAAGGACACAGTCCCTGGGGCCTATTGGAATCTCCAAGCAATGCCCCCACCCACTTTTGTCCCCTTCTTTCATTTCTCCTCCAGGAAGTTCCTCTAATCTGAGCCTGGGCTGGTTCCTGTTGCTATTATGCTCTGGGTCCTGGGACTCAGAGAGAAGACACCACCAGGAAAGTCACAGGGATGTACATAGGAAAGGAAAACTCCTTTGAAACCCCAGCCCCATCAGAATTTGGGTACCCTGCGAAGGTCTAATTTTCCAGTACTGCCATCTGAGTATTCTGGAATACTTAATTGTGCTCATGAGAAACCTGTACAAAGGCCAAGAGGCAGTTGTTCAAACAGAACAAGGGAACACTTAATGGTTTAAAATTAGGAAAGGTGTGTGTCAGGGATGTATTCTTTCACCATACTTATTCAATCTGTATGCTGAACAAATAATCTGAGAAGCTGGGTTATATGAAGAAAAACATGGCATCAGGATTGAAGGAAGACTCATTAACCACCTGCAATATGCAGATGATACAACCTTGCTTGCTGAAAGTGAAGAGGACTTAAAACATTTATTGATGAAGCTGAAAGAGCACAGCCTTTGGTATGGGTTGCATCGCAATATAAAGAAAACAAAACCCTCACCACTGAATCAATAAACAACATTCTTATCAATGGAGAAAAGATTGAAGTTGTCAAGGACTTCATTTTTCTTGTATCAACCATCAACACTCATGGAAGCAGCAGTCAAGAAATCAAACAATATATTGTATTAGCCATATCTGCTGCACAAGACCTCTTTAAAGTGTTCAAGAGCCAAGACGTCAATTTGAGGACTAAGGTGTGCCTGACCCAAGCCATGGTGTTTTCAATAACTTTATATGCATGTGAAAATTGCACAGTGAATACGGAAGACCATAGACGAATTGATGTCTTTGAGTTATGGTGTTAGAGGAGAATATTAAAAGTTCCATGAACCACCAAAAGAACAAACCAATCTGTGCTGGAAGAAGTACAGCCAAAATCCATCCTTGTAAACCAGGATAGCCAGACTTTTTTCTCATACTTCTGACGTATTATCAGGAGGGACCAGTCCGTGGAGAAGGATATCATGTTTGATAAAGTGGATGGTGGGAGTAAAAGAGGAAGCCCCCCAATGAGATGGATTGGCACAGTGGCAGCAGCAATGGGTTCAGTGAGGAGGTGCCCAGGACCAGCCAGTGTTTTGTTGTGTTGTGTATAAGGTAGCTATGAGTCAGTATCAGCCTGATGGCACCTAACAACAGCCTGGGTCTACCCAGCTCACCAACTCTTACATGGGAATCCATGTGCATCTTGGTTCTTGCGCTCAAGGCTGGGGCAAAACGCACATAGGAAAAGGGAGTACCCTCTTCACCCCTCACTCACTCCCACTCACCCTCTCGAGAGGCTAGGAGCTAGACTTAGGCTTGGCGCCCACTAATTGGTCTCTTTAGGCGGACAGCAGGAGCGCTTCACTTGCGCAGATCCGAGCCTAGTCATCCGATTAGCGACCTAGCACCATCTAGCGCTCCCGCCCCGCGCCCCCTCCCGCCGCCGCCGCCACCCCTACTGTCATCTCTGCATTCTTCGCGGTCCAGGGCTTGCTCCTGCGCCAGTCTCGGCGGCGGCGGTGAACAACACTACCCGCCAACTTAGACATGAGGCACGGCCCGCGTGCTGCTCTGGCCCTGGGGCTACTGCACTTCTGCCTGGGTGAGTGACCGCTGGGCAGGGCAGGAATGGGTGGGGGCGGGCGTGTGCGGGGTCATCGCACTTCCAGAGTGAGACTTGGACCCGCCCGGTGGCGTTTCTTCCGTCACTGGTGCCCTGGAACCCGGGGCCCGCGTCCTGGATCCCCATTGCCCCACAAGCAAGGCGTGGGGGTGTGTAAAGACTGTTGCAAAGGCTGAGTGGGGCAGGGGAGGGGACCCTTTTCCCACGTGTTTGGCCGCACTTCGCGGTGTGATCTTAGGAGGAGCCCTGCCCCTCTCTGGGCATCAGTTCCCTGTCTGCACTTTAAAGGGGGTGGGATTGACCCCTGCCTTGCATCTAGTGTCCAAATGGTGTGTGACTCTGACAAAACTAATTCCTGGTTATGACCATACCAGATAGGATGCGGGGGGCGGGAATGGGGGAGGCACTCCGTGAAACCTCAGCCAGCTCCGTGAGTGTTCTTGGGCCAGGATGATGGAGCGACCACCCGCCCAGGTGCGAAGGTGGCCCTCCACAATCAGAGTATCCCCCATTTTCCCTCTGTGCTCTCTTCAAAGCCAACTTTGCTCCCAGCTTCTTCGACAACGGGGTCGGCAGCACCCATGGAAACATGGCATTGTTCAGTCTTCCGGAGGACACCCCTGTAGGTCAGTAGCCCGGGGACTCACATCCCCCACCCCATAGATCTCCCCGAGCGGCGGCCCACGTTCCCCTGGATGCAGGGACCTAACCCGTGACTTCTTTGGGCCTATGGAAAGCCAGGCCTCGTGCATTCCCCCGGCGCCCCTGTTGGCACTGGGAATTCCCCTGGGTGGCAGAATAAGAGGTCATGGTTGCCATGGTCACCGAAGCCGACCAAGCCCTGGAGGTTCTACCGCGGGTTTACACATTCTTACACACTGGTCTAGCCTAGGCTGCACGCAGCTGTGTACAAGACGCCCCCAGCGCTGCCCCTACTGGCTGTGTGACAAATACCTTTACCTCCCTGAGCCTCTTACCTTTAGGTTCTAAAGTGGCCCGTAAATCGTATAGAAACCACTGGACTATGCAGAGAGAGAAACAGATTTCAACACCCTGTCTCACATGGTTGGGGTTGGGAGCCCAGAGGAGAGCAAAGAAGTGCCTTGTTCAGATATCCCCTAACAACAAGGCATGAAGACCTCTTCCTTTCAATCTCTTCTCCTGTCTAAATGGTCACTCCCTTCTGCACTATTCCCCAGTGCCCTGGAGACCCACAATCTTGGCTCTTGAGATCAGAGTCCATCAGATCAAAGGAATGTCCCTGCTCTGAAATCTACATTGTAGATTACAATCTGTGAGGAGGCTGAGGCAGCAGCATCTCACTGATCATAGCATCTCACTGACAGATCTGAGGTGCCGAGATAAACGTGGCTAGAACTCTGCCGGGCACGGTGCCCACTAAGCACTCATATTTGCCAGGGAAGTGAATATTCACTTCTTAAACAGTCCTGTGAACCTCTCCTTTTGAGTGAACTGGGTCCCAGCTTTTAAATTTCTCTCCTGTCTTTCCTGCCAGGCTCTCACGTGTACACATTGAATGGGACAGACCCCGAGGGAGACCCCATCTCCTACCACATCAGCTTTGACTCCAGCACTAGAAGCATTTTCTCTGTTGACCCCAGTTGTGGAAACGTCACCCTGGTTGAAGAGCTGGATCGGGAGGTATAGGACAGGGCAAGGAGGTCGTATACACAGACACCTCTGTGTTTGGATAATTCCCTGAGAAGCTCAAGTCAGGAGACTTTTGTGCAGCCTCTGAGGGGAGAGAGGAGGGCTGCTTAGATAGACCATCAAGGGGATCTCTGAGCCGCTTCCTTAGAGATCAGAGGAGACTTAACTTTCAGAGTGAATAGCGGGGTTCTGTAACGAGCAACTGCCAGTCCTGGTCATTTTTTAAGCATGTTCAATTTAAAAGCAATTGTTTGCACTTTGCCTTTCAGAAACATCATAAATTGATGTTGTAACCCACAGCAAACTTAGCAGATCAGGACTGCAAGAAGGGGTTTGGAGGGTAGGTTTGAGTTTGGAGAAACACTTTCCCTCAGAGCCCCTCTGAACCTGTGGGTGACAAGGTTTTGAGCTCCCATATGAGGCTGGAAGGCCTAGCTAGTCACGTATTAGACCTCAGCTGTACATCTACAGAAAACTCTAGGAAGCTGACAGGACCCCGCAGCCCAAGCCAGGGTGGACAAGGGCAAGGAAAGGTTGCAGGTAGTCACAGCTAAAAAGGCTAACCTCACTCCTGGCACCCACTGGGACCAGGTGAACTCTAGTATCCCACCACCACCACCACCAGTGAAGTGCTGCCATGTTCTGGGAGCACTTGGGACATCGCAAAGCTGGGCTGCTGAAATATGGGATATGGCAAAGGTAGGAGAGAAAAGGGAGGGAAAGGAAAAGGCAAGGGAGGATATAATCTTCCTGGGACCTCAGCACACTTGAGTGCATTTTCTTCCCGTTCCAGTAGTTCCAGTAGCATTTTCTGTTGGCGCCATAGCAACCCCTCTGGGCTTATGAGAACCCCATGCAAAGCAGTGTAGGTGGAAGCTTTGGGCTGTGCCTGGCACGCTGCTATCACCAGCCCACCCTGCTCTAGGATTTCTGTGATGGGCAGAATGGGGCAGGGAGGATTCCCACAGGGATAGGGGATCGGAACCTCGTACATGCATTGGGTACTTGTCTTTGCAGAGGGAGGATGAGATTGAAGCCATTATCAGCATCTCTGATGGCCTGAATCAGGTGAGTTCAAACCTGCCCCCCTAGAAGTAGGCAGCTCCCTGGGCACAGCTTCTACTCAAGCCAGGGCCTAGCAGAGTGTTCCCCAAAGAAGAGCCCAGAGGAGCAGGTCCATAGGGAAGCCACGAGGGAACGGACAGACCAAGAGCTGTCATCTGGGCTCCTGATGGGTCTAACCTACCTTCCCTAGACCTTCTCGAGCCTGCCTTCCCATCTACCTCGGACCTGGTTCTTGGCTCTGTCTAGTCATCAAGATCCTTCCTTCTTCTTCAGCATCTTTCCCTAGCCACTACTCCCCACTCCCTCCCTCAAGACTTTCCCCCATAGCAGCAACATGCCCTCCAAGGGTTTCCCTGGCTTCTGTCTGTATCACCCTAATCCACTATCTACCTCTACCTGGTGCCAGAGTCAGCGAGGTAAAGCAGACCGCTGGCCACTTGCAGAAAGTTCTAATAACTGGACGCACTGCCCTCAAGGTGAAACCCAAGCTTCAGTCTATCCTCCCAGGGGGGTATGTGTCTGCCTCACCCATTTTCCTCCCTCAACACCCTACCATTCAGCTACAAAATCTATTTATGTGCCCTGAACTCACCATCCTTCCCTCTGGTCTCTGACTTCACACTCATTGGCCCAGAACACCCTTCCACGTTGCCTCGTCTCCCTGGTGACTGCCACCAAGCTTGAGTCTTACTTCCTCTGTGGCGCTTCCCTGATCTCCACGGGGGGGGGGGGGGGAATGCCCCTTCTTTGTGTCTCCTCAACTGGGCCCCCCTGCACACCTTCAAAGATGCATCTGCCTAGACCGAGGTGTCCACAATGGTCCTGGAACTGTGTCGTGGAGACCCTGCCCACAGAGTGTGGCATAGGCAATTGTTACCCTCTCACACTGGTAAACATTGCTACCATACTTCCATCCACTTATCCTATCTACCACCACCACTGGAAAATGCATACCATGAGACAGACTCTTCCGTCTCCGGGAGTGAACAGTGTTTGGCATCAAATAGTCACTTAGTAATATTTGGTGCATGAATGAGGAAAAGAACAAAGGGAATGAGGGCTGACAGAGAACTATATTTGTGAGTATTGTTGTTGTTATGTGCTGTGGAGTCAGTTCCGACTCATAGCAATCCTGTACTGGGTTTCCAAGGCTGTAAATCTTTACGGGAGTAGAAAGCCTCATCTTTCTCCCATGGAGCAGCTGGTAGTTTCGAACTGCTGACCTTAAGGTTCGTAGCCTGATTCGTAACCACTAAGCTACCAGAGCTTCCTGGGAGTATTAGAGAGTATAAGAGGTCCTTGATCCCTCCGAAGGCCCTACTGTCCTGTCCCTTCTGCTCCTTAGGTAGCAGAAAAAGTCCTCATCTTGGTGACTGACGTCAATGATGAGGTGCCCAGGTTCATCCACGAGCCATATGTTGTCCTGGTTCCTGAGGTGAGTGCAGCTAACACCTGCCCCCAGGTGCACGGTGTGAGCAGCCCAGGGTGGAATGGGTGCATCCCTCCATCACGTGCCCCTTTGGGAGAGACTCTCTCCTCCTGACCCCTTTCTCTTCCCTGTTCCTCACCTGTCATCATCTCCCTCACATAATGAATGCAGTTCCATGGGAATGTCCATTTGCTATTCTCTATAATAATAAGGAGCTCTGGTAGCGTAGTGGTTACGAAATCGGGCTGCGAACCTTAAGGTCAGCGGTTCGAAACTACCAGCCGCTCCGCGGGAG